TTGTGGGGAAAGGGATCTGAAATTCCCAAATTGAGGGAAAGGAACCCAAAATTCCCGGAAATTTTGGAAATTTGTGGGGAAAAAGGAGCCAAAATGACCCAAAATGACCCAAAATTTGAAGGGAAAGGAGCCAAAATTGCCCAAAATTCCAGAGATTTGTGGGGAAAAGGGAACCGAAATTTCCCAAAATGACCCAAAATTGAAACAAAGAGACCCAAAATTCCCCAAAATCCTGAAATTTTTGGAGAAAAGGGACCCAAAATTCCCAAATTGAGGGGAAAGGATCAAAAATTCCCCCAAATCCTGAAATTTCAGAGGAAAAGGACCCCAAATTCTGGAAATTTCTGGGGAAAGGGACCCAAAATGCCAAAATTGAGGGAAAGGAACCCAAAATTCCCTGAAATTTTGGAAATTTGTGGTGAAAAGGGAGCCAAAATTATCCAATATTACCCAAAATTAACCAAAATCACCCAAAATCCCAACATTGAGGGAAAGGGATCTGAAAATACCCAAAATTGAGGGAAAGGGACCCGAAATTCCCCAAAATCCCAAATTTTGAGGGGAAAAAGGACCCAAAATTCCCCAAAATTCCTGAAATTTGTGGGAAGAGGGACACGAAATTGCCCGAAATTTTTAAAATGAGGGGAAAGGACCAACAATTCCCCAAAATTCCTGAAATTTGTGGGGAAAGGGACACAAAAATACCAAAAACCCCAAAATTTGTATGGAAAGGACCCAAAAATACCAAAAATCCAAAATTAATGGGGACAAGGCTGCAAAAACACCCAAAATCCTCAAATTTGTGGGGAGAACAGCCCCGAAACCCAAAAATCTGGGGGGAAATGAAGCCAAAATTCCCCAAAATCCTGAAATTTGTGGGGAAAGGATCCGAAATTCCCAAAAATTCCTGAAATTTGAGGGGAAAAAGGACCCGAAATGCCAAAATTGGGGGAAAGGGACCCAAAATTCCCCAAATCCCCTAAAATTGCCCAAAATTCTTGAGATCTGTGGGGAAAGGGTCCTAAAATTACCCCAAATCACCTGAAATTGAAAGAAAGGCACCCAAAATTCCCCAAAATCCTGAAATTTGTGGGAAAAAGGGACCCGAAATGCCAAAATTGAGGGGGAAGGAGCTGAAATTCCCCAAAATTGCCCAAAATTGCCCCAAACTCCCCAAAATTCCCCAAAATTCCAGAGATCTGTGGGGCAAAAGGACCCAAAATGTCAAAGTGGAGGAAAAGGGACACGAAATTCC